TCCTCTTTTATTAAAAGTTCATGTATAATAACAACAACAACAATAATAATAATAATAATAATAAACTTTTAATTGTATCCCGCCCTCCCCAGCCGAGACTGGGCTTAGGGTGGCTAACATCAAATAATCACACTGATATAAAATCAAACATTAAATCGCCTCTTAAAAACAAATCAGGATAGAATTAAAATCTGAATTAGATGGCTTTCCGCAGGATTTGGGTTGGGAACAGTAAATGCTTATCAGGTCCAACTGTGTACACTGATCTTATATGGGCCTGTGAGAATGGTGGGAGGCCTCTTTCATACTAGTTCTTATACCAAAAGGGAAGGGGAGTTAGACTGAGCCCTGACCAAAGGCCTCTAAAGGCAAGCGGCCTATAAAACTGCCTATAAAACTATAAAACTGAAGGCATATTGTTTTATTCCAGTCTTATGACCAAGGTAAGGAAAGATGTAACAACCCCAGACCCCTAGAGCCCCACACAAATATTGGATAATGAGTTTACCGCAGGCAGGGACCATTTTAGCCCCCATCTGATATGGGGGAACGGGGCAGTGGGGGAAAATGGGGATTTTTCAGGCCGTTTTCAATGGTGTTTCAAATATATACAATTTCGCTTAAACACGCAGTGCCGTGAAAGGTAACTCCTGGGTAAATTGGGAGTTGCCTGTACTACATTATTAATATTTATTTAGTGCCAGCCTGGGTTGGAAATGAGCAGGGTGCCTAAATATTCTCCATTTCCGAGCACCTACCGAAGTCTGGGTGCCGTTTTTTGCACCTGGCTAGCACTCAAGGATTACTGAAATGTATGTGCTTTGAAGCCTCAAAGTACCGTATTGGCTCGAATATAAGCCGCACCCGAATATAAGCCGCACCTTTAAAATTGGGGATGGGGGGAGAAAAAAAATACCCGGATATAAGCCGCTCCATTCCTCACTGCTCCTGGCTGCACACTGGGCAGGGCGGGGGGAGCCGCGCTGCGTTGCCCCTTCATTGCTCTCTCCCTTCCCAGCCTTGGGAGAGAGGACGAGGGACTACGCTCTGGGCAGTCGCTGCGCTCCTGGGGCTGTTTGCCCTGTGCTCCTGGCTGCATACTGCAATGTCGCGAATATAAGCTGCACTTTAACTTTTCACAGTCAGAATGGGGGGGGGGGGTTGAGGCTTATATACAGTATACGTTAAGGATCGACAATATGTTTCACAATAAAGAGTTGAGGGTTTTGAAAACTGAAGCATGGTACCAATATTTTTATTGTAAATACCAAATTAAACATGTATTTACCGTTTCTGCTAAAAATGTGATATTAACACTGCATGACTTATGTGAATTGTGTATTAGTTCATGCTGATCAAAATAATAAATAAAAAGTGTTGCCCCCCCCCACCCCCCAAAACGGCGACTAGACATTCTGTTTTGGCGCCCACAATCCTGGTCCCAGAAACCATTTGGCTCCTATCCCAGTTTCTAACACTTGAACTGCCCTCAGCAAACTGGATTCTAAACCCAAAAGCAACTGATGAAGCTGTTTCTCAGGCAAAGGACCTGCGGCTCTCCCAATGTGTTTTGGATTCCAGTTCCAGTGCCAACCAGAATGGCCAAAAGTCAGGGAGGATGGGAGTTGATGGCTACGCTCCACCTCTACCTCTAGAGCCAGTATGTCTCTGAATACCAGCTGCTGGGAGCCATAAGTGGGAAGACTGCTGCTGCACTCATGTTCACTTGCAGACTTCCAATAGGGATGCTAGAATGGATGGGACATTGGCTTGATCTAGCAGCCTCTGGAGGGCCACAGGTGCTTCGTTCCTGCCTTCTAGGATGAACAGTATCTTATTCCAACAGCATCTTTTTCCAAGGTTAGCTGCAAACCTTATTGCTAAACCAGAAGTGGAGAGGAAGGAGTACAGTGATTCCTCCGGTTGCAGACGGGATCCATTCCGGAGCTCTGGTCGGATCCTGAGGTTTCTGCAAGTGGAGGGACAACTTCCGCGCATGCGGCAGTAGAGCACTTCTGCGCATGTGCGCACGGCGAAACCCGGAAAAATACTTCCAGATTTGCCTCTTACGTATCCCGAAGGATACGTAACCAGAGGTGAACGTAAGTAGAGGTACCACTGTACAGCTGTGGGGCTAGGTGCCATCCCACCGATTCATAATTTGCCTCTGCCACATGGACTATACCACAGGTCACAGGTCTGTTTGTTTTATGGGTGCTACACACACACCTGGAAGCCCACCTAGAAGCCCCCAAAGGCCAGCACCACAGAGATGAAGCGAATGGATTTGGCTAGGTAAGAAACAGCGAAGGGAAGGCCACTGCGGCAAAGGTTGTTTTTCGGGTGCGGGGAGGACAGATGAACAGGCGACTGAGGAAAGCCTTTGAAAACGAAGGAGTTTTTTTGAGAACAATTTACTGCAAAGGCAAGCTGGCTTGATAAAAGAACGTGGCAATGATCCCACATGCAGCATGTACCTTTGTGTCAAAACTGAGCAACCCGCCCACATTTCCACTGAAGGACTTGGTGAACCTAAATATTTCAAGCTGCTGTGAAGTTTGCTGGTTTATTCAGGAACTGGATGACTCTGTGTAAGACTGAAGCGGGGGTGGGATGGGGGAGGTTGGGCAGTTCAGCTCCATGGCCTATTCAATACCTGACAGCTCTACTGACCCCAGCACAGGTGAGAATGTAAGTGTTCTTCAGTGACAAGTGCACTAGAGAAAACATTTAGACGCATTTCTCCAAGGCCGAAAGATGCCAGTGTTTATTTCTGACCTGACCTGAACTTGAAGCTGCGATCGTGGAACAAGTGTAGACATTTTTCTAAGAATTAGCAGTTAAGTTTTGCAGCACTCTCTTAAATGTGCCTACTGTGCTTTTAGCAACAAAGTGCTCACAAATGCTGTGAAGTGCTACCACATTAAGGAGCGATTTTATGCAAAGCACATGGTGTAAAGAGAGAGAGAGTGCAGTAGCCACCTTGACCTAATTTCCTTACTTTGGGGGACATAATTTACCATCCAAGTGATACTATACAACGAAGCTACGAGGAAAGGACAAAATTAGATTAAAGCAAGAGTAACGGGCTACGCTGGTCTAATGCATTTTGCAAAGTCCTTTCTGAGTGTTGTGCCTTCACGGTATCTTCTGTTCCAAGGACATTTGGGCGGGGGGGGGGGGGTAACAAAATTCTCACACTGAAGAACATAAATGCACAAGAAGAATCACAGAATTGTAGAATTGAAAGGGACACCCCAAGGATCATCTAGTCCAACCCTCTGCAATGCAGGAAAAAGAGCAACCCCCTACCCCAAGGCATGCACAAACCTAAACCAATCGTGCATCCCAATCCCACTTGCAGCTAGGTGTGTTGAAACCAGCTGAAATCAATGGGCTTAACTCTGCAAAGGCCTGCAGTCTTGATTTCTAGTTCAGTGGTGCAAACATCATTGCTCACCTTCCAAGTTATGCAAAATATTTCCCTCAATCCTTCATAACATAACCGGAAGGAAAGGAATTGATTTTGCAACCTTTCCATTCTCCAAAAGCCTCAGGGCAAGGTATAAATACATTCACCTCCCCGGCAAAGGGAGTAGTAGCAAAGCCCAATCTCACATATTGATTTAGCCTGGCAGCGTATGAACTAAAACCCCATCAATATCCATTAAAACACATCTCACAAACGCCATGCCAAAACAGATGCTCATTAAAGAATTGGGGAGAAAGCCCTCCTCTCAACCACACCATTGATTCACCCAAAACCCCGAGGCAGCAAAATATTTGTACAAGTATTTGTGCACGGTTATTAAAAGATATACAATCATTTTTTATAACAATGGCAACTGATTTCAGTGACTATTCTTGCCTGTTACTTCCTACCTAATGCAACATTTTCAAAATTAAAGTCAGCATTATAAAGACTGACAAAAAAAAGGATAAAAAAACCCAGTTTCAAGCTGATACATACGCATGTATCACAAAATATCCACACACAAAAAGATATTAAGGTTAATCAGGTTCCAGGTAGGCTACCCTTATTAGGACAAGAACATATAGGAATATAGGACAATAAAGCAAAATATGCTTGTGGAATTGAGACGCAAACAACTCTTAATGTCCTTAGCCCGGGAAGGATGTAAAAAAAAGGTTATTTAACTCTAAACCTAGACTACTGGAAGACAAGTAGAGTAACACTCTTCCTCACAAGGGGAAAAGGGATTACTAGAATTATTTCTTGGCAGGGCAGAACGATGAGCTCGACTATTTCTGTTGTAGGAAGCTGTTAATTAGGGAAGAACAAACGGAGAAAAGAGTTATCCTAAGCAGATTGCGCACAGACATGTCTGGGAGGGCATGCCAAGAGTCAGTCCCCCTCCCCAGCCCCCAAGAAACCTTGCACAAGGGGGCAGAGACGCTGGAGGGGTTTGGAAAGAAAGAGCGTTGCTTCGAGGGGTAGAACAAGGATAAAAACAACGGGGCCTCTCTCACGCTTCCCCAAGCAGATGTATTAGAAATGAGATAAAAATGAAACACACCAACAAGACCCACAATTGTAGCAGCATAATCTCTAAGGGCTCGACAGAACATGACAGGGTAGATGCCACAAAAGGGAAGCTGACCCAAACCGGCGAGCGCACACAATGCGCTCCCTTCTATGTCTTCCATGCTAGCCAAGCAACAAGGGAAAGGGGGTCAGAAAGTGGGGCAGCAGGAGGAGGGGGGCTCTCCATACACACACACAACCCAAAATTAAGGCTGAGGAGAAATGCAGTTTTTTTTAAAGTAACACAAAACTCTATTATGAGTGAGAGGAAGGAGCCGGGGCAAGGAGCCCGAGGCAAGGGGCGAGTCTCTAGGGCAGCAGAAAAAGGAGTTGGGGGTGGAGAGGTGGAGAAGGGCGGACAATGGGGCGGCGGCGGAGGAGCCCGAGCTCGGTCGCGCTCCCGGGCGCCGGCGCTGCCCGCCTGGCTTCTTCTCCACGCCCGGCCCCGGCTCACCTGGTAGATGGCGGCCCAGCTGTCGGCCTGGTCGAGCCGGCGGAACTCCTTCTCGATCTCCATGGCGTAGGGGGCCCGGGCCCGGCCGGGCTCCTCCGCCTCTTCCTCCTCCGGCTCCTCCACGGCGTCTCCCGCTGCCCTGGGCTGCTCCAGCTCCGGCTGCTCCCCGGAGCGCCGCGGCGGCTCTTGCTGCCTGCTCTGCATGGGCAGCGCCTCCCCTTCCCTCCGCTTCTCCCCTTCCCTTCGCCAGCCCACGGGAAGCGACGCAAGCGGCCCGGCCCCCGAGCCTTCCGGGACGGCCTCCTCCTCGCCGCCTCCCGAAGAGGCGAGGCCGAGGAAGGAGGGCGCAAGGCCGGCCTCCGAGCGAGGAGGGGAGAGGGCAGGGCGGAGTCTGCCCGGGGTGGAGCAAAGAGCTCGGATGAGCTGGGCCAGCCAGGGCAAAGGGGCGGGGGAAAGAAGCCAAGAGAGCCTCTGAGCGTGTGCAGAGCACCCTCCAATAGCTCGCTTCCTGGGATGGCCGGGGAGGGGGAAGTTGCGCAAGACGGAGGCGTCGGCTCGCCAGTGCATGTTGCGCTTGGGCTCTGCGGCGTTTCTCGTTTTGGAAAAGGGTTGGGCCCCAGTGCAGGAGATTCCCGTGTTGGTCCAGGCTCCTCCTCGCAAAAGAGAGAGCATTGCAAAGGGATCCCCCGCCTCCGCACCGCCCGCTCCTTTTTATTGTAAGAGGTGGGCGATTTTTGTTGCGTTGCGTTTACTTTCTCATGTTTCCCTCCCGCGACCCCTTTACTGCCGGCGCTCCCGGGCAGGAGCTGGCTGCTCCCGTTCTGGGAAAGCAGAGGATCTAGATCTTAGGGGGGGAAGACAACGTTTGTGGGTCTTGCGGCACCTTCGAGACTTCATAAACAGCGGCGTGGTGCCATCCAATATTGTGGACTACAGCTCCCATCAGCCTCATCCATAGTGCTCTGGCATTATGGGAGTTGTAGTCCCAACTCTTTTTTTGTGAAGGGTTCTCCACGTTGGGTAACCGGGTAGACGAGAGACCATAAGATGAATGACATATTAAAACCTATTTCTTTTATGGTTTCTAGTGGCATGGGCATGTTAATCTGTTGCAATAACAGTTACGAAAGAGTTGTGAACCTTAAAGAATAAGCAATTTAGTAAGGCATAAGCTTCCATGGGCTACATTCCACTTTGTCCCACGTTGCAGGTGCATATACATATAACTGGGGGGAAGGGTAAATAGTTGGGTCACAAGGAGACAAAAGTGTAGAAAATACAAAATGTGATGATTACATTAACCTGGACCATTCACACATGAAAACATCTACAGCAGGGACTGCTGTATGCGACTCATTGCTCTCTCTGGCCTGGTTCGCAAACTTATTATAATTTGAATTTGTCATTTGCTTTTTCTTGCCCAGGCAACTCCAAGCAATTTACAACTGAGCATATAGACAGAACTACCCACATTGATATACATTAAATCCAAGAGGGGAAAAAAGAAATACATTAGAAATATCCCACCCACTTCTAAAAGCCCACAGATAGTTCAAGGTCAAAGGCCTGGTTATAGAAGAACGTTTTTTGCCTGGTGCCTAAATATATATAACAATGGCACTCTAAGAAGAGCGATCCACAAGAGGGGAGTCACTGCAGAAAATGCCTGTTCTTGTGTTGCTATCCACCCCCCTGCCACCTCTTGTGGAGGGGCCACACGAAAAAGGGCCTTGGATTATGACTGCAAGGTCCAGTGCTTTATTATACAGTACTATGGTTTATTAAGGGACGCGGGTGGTGCTGTGGGTTAAACCACAGAGCCTAGGACTTGCCGATCAGAAGGTCAGCGGTTCGAATCCCCATGACGGGGTGAGCTCCCGTTGCTCAGTTCCTGCTCCTGCCAACCTAGCAGTTCAAAAGCATTTCAAGTGCAAGTAGATAAATAGGTACCGCTCCGGTGGGAAGGTAAACGGCGTTTCCGTGCGCTGCTCTGGTTCACCAGAAGCGGCTTAGTCATGCTGGCCACATGACCTGGAAGCTGTACGCCGGCTCCCTCGGCCCCGTAAAGCGAGATGAGCGCCGCAACCCCAGAGTCAGCCACGACTGGACCTAATTGTCAGGGGTCCCTTTACCTTTACCTTTTTACTATGGTTTATTAAACCATGGCTTATGGATGAACCCAGATGAGCACCTGGACTATGGCTATGGTTTAACTATGGTTAAAGTTCTCTCATTAACCAAGATTTGGTATACAAACCTCCTGGAACGTTAACCATAGCTTACCATTATGTGCAAACTCAAACCTCCTTCTTAATCATGATTAATGAGCCATCTCTGACCAAAAGCTACAGAGCCACGAGTGAAGAGTAGCAAAAGAATCCCAACAGCTATCTAGGCTTGGCTGCTCTGTGGCATAAGGTTTAGGTGGTCATCTGCCAGGCACCACAGCTTCAACTATGGTTTATTAACTATGGTTAACATTAACTATGTCTTAGTATTATGTGTGAACTAGGCTAATGGCTCCCTTTGCTCTCCATGGGTTGCTTTCCCACTAGTACGGCATCCATCCCACATCCTGCTACATGCAAACCATGAGTAGGTCTTGCCCCATAAGCCGTAGTAGTGATGCTGCTAAGAGCAGCTGCTCCTCTGGGGGCGGGGCTGTTAAGCTACTTGCTCCAGGTGCAAGTTTCATGACAGACAGTTGTGCAACAGGTGAAGGTGTCTGTAGCATGGAGTGTGTGTCATAAACAACCCTGCACCTGCTATTCTGCTGTCAAGCCACTCTCAAGAGCTTTACTGGAGCAACCCCATACGCAACCCTTTTTATATTAGATTAGAGTTTACCTTGTTTTTATTTTATAAATGTATTGCTTGCCTTTTGTGAATTTTCTCGTAAGGCGGTGAACAATTAAACAAACACGTAGTTATCTACAGTACTTTTTTTCTGGGGGGACGCATACCCCTAAACATTTCGTGCATCTAAGTTTGGCCTCATTGAGGAGCAATATTTCAATATGAGTAGGAAAATGAGAGTACCCCTAAACATTTTTTTTAGGAAAAAAAGCACTGATTATCTATAATATGTTACAGGAAAGCACACACACCCACACCAAAACTATCTTTCCTGTTCAAGATCCACTCTCTGCTGGATGCAAGATCAGTCACTGTTTCTGTGTTGCTAGGGAGTGGAAGATTGGGATCATCATTATTATTCTTTATTAAATTTGTATCTCACCCTTCATCTGAAGATCACAGGGCAGTTCACAACACAAAAATACAAAATAAAAACACAAAACACCTAATATAATAAAAACAAAAGGAAAACAAACCGATAATCCCCCCCCCAGATACATTTTAATATTAATGATGCTCTTTCCCAAAGTCTAGCTTAAGCCAGCACCATAAGGTCTGTGGGGAGGGCGTCAAATGTTGGTCTTGCACAGTCCCTGAGGAGTGGCGAGGGCATTGAGTCCTGATAGGATTTTACTCGGCCAGCTTGACCTATCAAGCAAGATAAAGGGTGTCACATGGGTTGCAGGGAAAAGAGGAGGGACAAAAGAGTTGGTTGACTCAGGCTATTGGTCCAGTATGTAATGCTCCTCTTAGTTGGTACAGATGTGCCAGGGCCAAGTAGAGCTGTCTCTACTCCTGCCGTGACATGAATACAGGATTATTCAGCTTATGTCTTATCCAGCGTATAGTTATAAACTTAAGTAGGGATTATGAGTATTAATTTCCTGCAAAAATGTCATTATAAATTTTTAAGGCTTAGCTGGGTTAAAAAAAAAAGATGTGCCAATTATGAAGCAGTCATTAAAAACTCACATTTGCAATTATTATATAGACTATGGTGCACAACACACGTTTGCAAATTGTAGAATAGATGGACCCTACAGACCTACCAATTTTGAAACCTGTGGAATGGGGCTCTGAGTTTCATTTTTCAGCTAAGCCAAAGCATTTCACCTGTGATCAGTGTATTCCGGATTTGAAGATGAGCTACAGTGACATCATTTTCCTGCTCAGTTCTTGTAAGATCTATCTGTAAACAAGATCCACAATGTCCCTGCACTCTGGCGTTGTGAGTACAACTCTGTAATTGCGTTTGGCTAACAAGCAGCAGTTCCAGTAGACTGGTTCTCCATTTACAAATGGGGAGGTTAGTTGTCATTCCCATTCAGCTCGCCTCCTGCTATCAGATTCTACATAATTGCTCCATTATTCCACATTAACATCCCTGTTTTATTTAACAGGAAGATGGTCTTGTATTAAACAAGGCTGATACTTTCTGGCAGCTGTTGGAATGCCTTTTGGGTATTGAGAGCCGCAAGTATGTTCCTTATTTCCTTTCTTGCTGTTGATGGTAATTTAAGTTTTCAGAATGTTTTGTATCAGGAGCCAACATGATTCAGTCATTCATTCAGCAACACTATAATTTCCAAGAAAAGCTTTTGGAGCCAATGTATTACAATAAGCAAGGACCATCTTAGTATTTCCCAAAATTCTCATAGCTGAGGTGCACTACATATGAATTAAAATGGGAAGAAGGAGCATGCTGCATGCTTATATCACAGAAAATTTAGGGGCCCCCCTCACACCATCATGTTTCTGGAAGAGTCAGTTACCCCACACAGTCCTCTGTTCGAAGGGCTGTGCAGGATAAAAAATGGTTTCACCTTCCAGTAAAACGGGATGTTTGGGTAGTGGTGGCTTTATTTCTCACTGGATGAGAAGCCAGTGGTCTTTCAGGTGTTGCTGGTCATGCTGGCTGGGCCGATGGGAGCTGGAACCTCAGTGTGGTTTAACCATCAATCTGTCAGTGCATGTCACATGAGTGTGACGTCCGGTGTGTGGCGCATGTTGCACATGTGTGAGATCATGTGCCTGTCACACGCCACACACATGCGATGTCATGCACATGACACGTGCGTGACGTCACATGTGTGACGGAGCCCAGTGTGGCATAGCTTCCCCTCTCGCGCTCAGGAGGAGCCAGCCACTGAACTGCTCCATGCTCAGCCATTTCCGCCCCTTCAACATGTAGAGGGCCAGCAGGTTTTGAAGGGGCCGAAGGCACCTCTGCCCCTAGGATTTTGGTGTGCCTGATACTGCTTTAAATGTATCAGGCAGATGGAGCCCAGGGATGGGCCTCATTCAAGGAAGTGGACTAGGACTTCATGGAGACCTCCAGCACCACTGTGGGTCCTGTTTCAGGAGAGCAGCCCAAGTTGGAGGAACTTCTCTATGAGGAAAGATTGCAGCATTTGGGCCTTTTCTTTAGTTTAGAGAAAAGTCAATTAAGAGGCAACATGACAGAAGTGTATAAAATTATGCATGGCAT